CCTCATACTGTACATATTAGATGTTATAGACATCTGAGAACATGAAAATAGTAAAAAAAAAAAAAAAGCTCAAACTTGGTGAAATGTAAAAGAGCAGTCTGGACCTCTTTTCGGGGCGTTTTTTGATTAAATCTGCAGAATGGATTATACTTTGGGAAATACAAGTGGATATTCTTCTTCAATAAACAGTTACGGAGAGAAAGACTAAGCAAGGATGGGGAAAGTCTAATTTGTTGGAGCAGCAGAAGACGAAAGGTAAAAAACAAATTTTAGACGTGATTTATTTTGTCCCCTTATTATGCGTTATATCTTTTTAATGCAAAGTCTGATATTGTTTACACTTACATATAAATATAGCTGAGAAAATAAGCTTTAAAATGATATATAGCTTGTGGCTTACGAAGTTCAAAATACATCTGCTGTTGCCAACAGATTGCTGGCCCCCGCTAGCCCCCGCCGACGGGGCTTAAGGGGTCAATACATTGCCTAAATGGCAGGCAATGTCCCGGGGGCCATAGATAATTCATTCGCGGGCCGGATTTGGCCCGCGGGCCTTGACTTTGACACATGTGATGTAAGGGGTCAGACTGGTGCATGTGCAGAGGTCAGACTGGTGCAAAGTTACTGCTCTGTCCTCCCTCTGCTGCTGCACCGCATCAGCATCAGTCACATTCTGCTGGTAGCATTTTAGCACTGCCCTGCATCAAGCTTTCATTCGTGCTGCAACTCTCCTCCTGATCGCCGCCTCGTCAGTCAGACCTGCTTTTCTGCTTCTCCTACAGAAGCGTCCACTGCCACACTCTAAAAAGTAATGACTTAACCCAACAAGAAGAATTGAGGCAACCCCCCCGAGTGAAATTGTGATTGCTTTTTTAAATTTCAGGCCACTGAATTTTCTCAAGAGTAAAACTTTTTATTAACTGAAGACATACTCAAGAAATACGTGCATTGATATTTTGAGTTGATAAGTGCTTATTTGAGTATCTTCATTTATATTCCTCATTTGATATTGTTTAACAAGTTTAAACCTTTTTTATAATATTGACAAATGTAATGTAATTGTTGTATATAATATTTTAAGTTGGCAAAACCCAACTATCTTAATATCTAAATCATTTCAATTTTACATTTTACAAAACAATTATCTCAAACAAACATATGATTTGACAAGCTGCATTTGCTGTGTGCGTCAACATTTTTAGACATTTCAAATTTAACACTGACATCTTATGAAAACATTTATAAAACCACTATATTACTGGCAAAGGTGCGTAAATCTGTGACAAGGACTTTACAAAAATGTCTCCTGTTTCTCAGTAAATTCTATTGAATATCATATTCAAGACTTCAGAAAGAAAGTTATGTATTTTCAATATAAAACATTAGAAACTTAGCAATAAAAACAATTGTTGCAGTACACAATTACAGTAGACTCGCACTGTTCACAAGAAAACGCTGTTTTTGGGAGAAAACAAGAATCCTTGCACTTGTTTTTAGACCTCCAAAGTGTACTTTAGATGTTTTTTATAGCCCAGGTAGAGCGCACATATGAGGCCCAAGAGTAATGCACAGCACCAATGTACTTTCTTTTCTTCATTTACTTTGGTTTTGGATGATGGTGGAGGTTCTGGATCCTGAAGCATGGAAGCAATGTTCATAGTCATGCTGAAGAGGTTGTCTTCCAGGTCCTCTGTGTTCTTTTAGGGAAAACAATAACAACAAGATGTCAGCTAAGTACACATGTTTTCTATCTATTGTTGCCTGTTGTTCTCAAAGTAGCTTTTTTCTATTTGATGCAAATAAGAAACATTATAGGAACATGTAACAGGCCTATTGCTTACATGTGGAGGTGAAATATTTATCAAACGTTATTTTAGTATATCGTTTCTAATAGATAAATACTCAATTGTTTTAAATCTACATTGTAAACTTAATGTAAGGGTTTGAAGATGGTTCTGCATTTTTGTTATTCACTTGACAGAGAGTTTGAAAATCAAAGCTCAAGTGATGTCAAGTGTGTAAAGGAATAGTTCAGTTTCCATTCCGAGATATGCTCTTACCTTAGCTTGGCCCAGTTGATGTGTACCTCTCTGGTCTTTGTGTGTGGTTCTGTCACTCAAACAGTGGCTTCGCTACTATTCATACTTGCACATTTTCTCTATTTAAATACAGTTACGTAAAGTGTTACACGAGATCTGACTGTGGTCACGCTGTTTCTATTGAGAATAATGAGCGGTAGAGAAGTCCATAGGATTTAGCGTGCAGAAGCTCTCCACGTACTATTACCTCACAATATAGTTCACCATTTTATCCGTTTAGAAAATCAACATTTTTAATTTCAGTGTAACTATACTCGGCTCGTGTAACACTTCACAGAACTGCATTTAAATAGAGATAACATGGAAGAGCTTAGTAGCTTCTAACGTCTCCCTGTTTGACACAATAACAGTAATAGCGCTTTTTTGGACACTCAAAGACGCTTTACAGAAAAATAAGAAACAAAAATAAAAAGCTAAAAATAAACAGTTACGGGTAGGCAGTTTTGAACAGGTGGGTTTTGAGAAGTTATTTGAAGTTCTGTAGTGAGTCAGAGTTCTTAATTTGTGGTGGGAGTGAGTTCCAGAGAGAGGGGGCAGCTGCAGCAAAGGCTCGGCCCCCCAAGTTTGGCACATTGTTCTGATGGGAGTGAGGAGGTTGGAGTCTCTGGATCTGAGGCGGCGGGTAGTACAGTGATGATGCAGGAGGTCGTTGAGGTGGGACGAGGTTGAGGAGGACCTTGTTTTGTATGCGCAGTGGACCCCGGACCCCATACTCCAGGAGACAAAGGACACCGGGGAACGCAGGTTGAACGCCACAAAGCACATGTGGACAGGTTGGGTGAACCCTCGAGTATCCGATGGAGGCGGAGTGTATATTGGTATACTATAATTTTTGTAAAGTTCTCTGAGTATACTGTTGTGATTTAGGGCTATACAAGAATGCATTGAAATAAGTAAATAATGTTTTTTTATTTAGCGCATTGTTTAGCTCTCAAAACAGTTTGGCTTTATCACTAGTTTTTACCTTTTCCTGTTTTCTACTAACCCTATACTTGGTTCCACTTCAGTAGAGCAATAACTCTGTTTGTTTGTGAATCAGATAGAAAGGTTAGTGCTGCATAAAGGACCTAAAGACATGGATGACCCTCAATTATCTGCTTTTCAACCTGGACAATAATATCAATCTTAATTGCTTTAACTTTAAAGGAGATGTATTCTGCAAGGTGCCTTGCTCTCTCCGGGTGGGTGGAGGGGTCCTTCCTCAAGTGGAGGAGTTCAAGTATCTCGGGGTCTTGTTCACGAGTGATGGAAGGATGGAGCATGAGATTGACAGGCGGATCAGTGCAGCGTGCGCAGTGATGCGGTCGCTGTATCGGACCGTCGTGGTGAAGAGAGCGCTGAGCCAAAAGGCAAAGCTCGGAGTAGAGCCGCTGCGTCTCCACGTCGAGAGGAACCAGTTGAGGTGGCTCGGGCATCTGTTCCGGATGCCTCCTGGACGCCTCCCTCGGGAGGTGTTCCGGGCACGTCCCACCGGGAGGAGGCCCCGGGGAAGACCCAGGACACGCTGGAGGGACTATGTCTCTCAGCTGGCCTGGGAACGCCTTGGGGTCCCCCCGGAGGAGCTGGAGGAAGTGTGTGTGGATAGGGAAGTCTGGGCGTCTCTGCTTAGACTGCTGCCCCCGCAACCCGGCAACGGATGAAGCGGAAGAAAATGGATGGATGGATGGTATTCTGCAACATCAACTTTTCTATTTTTGTCTTGTTCTTCATCAGTCACATACCTGGAGTTGTCTCACTGGTAAAATTGCCATCTTTTGAGACTACACAAACTATATTCCAGTGTTACGCGTTACATAAGTAATGTAATTAGTGTAATGTATTGCTTATTGCTGTAACGCGGTAATTTAATGCATGAGGAATCAAACTGGCATGGGACATGTCACCAGAGTATTTATTCTGCTTGACATTATCCTTTAACCCTTTAGTCTGAGGATTTACTACACTGCTTCCACAGTAGGTTAGTGGCCTTGTCAGAAACCAGGCTTCAAAAAGTGAGAAACCTCACATTGACTCCTCAGACAAATACACATCATCTGTTGTTAAACAACTTACATCCTTGTGTGGTCTCCCCTCGTTGTTGCTACTCTTCAGTATTAACAATGTTCAGAGTTGTTTCCTGCTGTCGTTCCTAATGCCTGCTAACATCTGCTGCAAACCAATTCTTTTAACTGTCATGCTTGATTATTGTATAAAACAGAATGTATCCGGCGTTAATGGCGGCCGCCTTCCTGTTACTGAGTGGTTAAATGACTCTATCTCAGGAGCGTATACTGCAGACACATATTTTATTGATCCTGGGGGAAATCATCCTCTTTTTGTCAAAGGCGCCTTTTCACATTGGCACTCTCCTGGCGCCGTTTGCTGCACAGACAAGCCCTGCAGAGAGAGGCCTTTAAAATAATGGCCTAATTTTGGTTAAAAGCAGTGAACTGAAAAATAGGAACTCGCTGTGAAAAGATAAGTGACTGCATTTTGGACTTTACTTTGTGGCAGAATATAGAATGTGGGGCGACAGTCTCATGCATGTAGTTTAGATTAGATTAGATTAGATTCAACTTTACTGTCATTACAAAGTCAGAACAATGCAACAAAATGCAGTTTAGCGTCTAACCAGTAGTGCAATAGCGCAAGTATAGGAAATATTTACAACACAGATAAATATATTTGCATACATGAGAGACTGTACAAGCTACTATTGCTTTAAACATTGATTATATTACATTACATTAAAGTGCATTTAGTGGGCTTTAATTGGCTGAGTGTTCAGGAGTGTGACTGCTCTGTGATAAAAACTGTCTCTTGGCCTACTGGTCCTGGCTCAAAGACTCCTGTAGCGGTGGCCAGAGGGCAGAAGGCTAAAGAGTCTGTGTGCAGGGTGAGAGGAGTCCTTCACAATCTTACGAGCCCGCTGCAGAGTGCGCTGGCTCTGGATGTTCTCGAGGGCAGAGAGTGGAGCCCCAATGATGCGCTGGGCTGTCTTTACCACCCGCTGTAGAGATTCCTGCTCCGCCACTGTACAGTTCCCATACCAGGTCATAATGCAGTTTGTTAAAATGCTTTCTATGGCAGAGCGATAGAAATGCAGCATTACGGACGGGGACATGTGATTCTTCTTGAAAGTTCTCAAGAAGAAAAGGAGCTGGTAGGCCTTCTTGACGAGGCTGGAGGTGTTGATGGTCCAGGACAAGTCCTCAGATATGTGGGTTCCAAGGAACTTGAAACTGTGAACCCTCTCCACCGCCGTCCCATTGATGTAGATTCGGTTGTGTTCTCCTTCACTACTCCTCCTGAAGTCCACTATAAGTTATTTGGTTTTGCTGGTGTTGAGGTGCAGGTTGTTATCAGCACACCAGGTGGACAGATGCTGGATCTCCTCTCTGTAGGCCGTTTCATTGTTGTTGTGGATGAGGCCAATCAGTGTGGTGTTGTCTGCAAACTTGATGATGGAAATAGTGAGGGACACTGGTTTGCAGTCGTGACTGAAATGCTGTAAATACTTAAGCTATTCATTATTATAGTAAACTTATTTATTTACTTTATAAATCTCCCCAAGGTAACGGCTGCTTTACATTGATCCCTCGCTATATGACATTTAACTTTAATCAAAGTCAAAAGAAAACTTTTGTTTGCACCTTGTAGCTCTCTCTCTGTTCTTGTGGGTTATTTTTAGATGTATGTTGTTTTTTCAAAAGAAATCTTGTTGCAGTGACATTCACATCACAACAGTCTGTTTTCATCTTATTAGAAAACATATATTTTACACACTGAGAGCCGATTGGCTGAGGGTGGTCCATTGAAATGTAGCGATAGACCCGAACGGGCTCAGGACACAACCAAAGCTTGACACTTTACAGTCGGCTTACTGACTGTGGCACCTCGTGTTGTGAGAAGTCTCCCATCAAAGTAATAACCAGGCTCTACCCTGCACAGCCTGCTGTAAGTGTTTCGAAGGAAACATCCATCCATCCATTTTCTTCTGCTTCATCCGTTGCCAGGTTGCGGAGGCAGAGGCGACTGTCCTATCCACACACACTTTCTCCAGCTCATCTGGGGTTCACAGCTGAGAGACATAGTCCCTCCAGCGTGTCCTGGGTCTTCCCCGGGCTCTCCTCCAGGTGGGAGGTGCCAGGAGGTGTCCAGGAGGCATCTGGAACAGTCACCTCAACATGGAGAAGCAGCGGCTCTACTTCGAGATCCTCTTGTGTGACTGAGCTCCTCTCCCTATCTCTTATGGAGCGCCCAGCTGAATAGGAAGCCCATTCTGAGCACTTGTATTTGCGATCTTATTCTTTCAGTTGTTACCCAAAGCTCATGACCATAGGTGAGGGAGGGAACCAAGATTGACCGGTTAATCGAGAGCTTTGCCTTTCGGCTCTGCTCCCTCTATACCACAACGGTCCAACCTTTTTCCCGTCGAGCACCATGACCTTCGATTTAGAGGTGCTGATTCTCATCCCAGCCGCTTCACACTCGGCTGCAAACCGTCCCCAAACCGGACCCCCTCCTGCCCCGGCTGCACCTAGAAATTCTGTCCATAAACACAGTGAACAGAACTGGTGACAAAGGGCAGCCTTGGCGGAGGCCAACATGCACCGGGAACAGGTCTGACTTACTGCCGGCAATGCGAATGCAGCTCCGGTTCCAGTCATACAGGGACCGAACGGCCCTCAGCAGAGGACCCCGTACTCCCGGAGAACCCCCCAAAGGACACCCCGGGGAACACGGTCAAACGCCTTCTCCAAATCCACAAAGCACATGTGGATAGGTTGGGTGAACTCCCACGAACCCTCGAGTATCCGATAGAGCAGCCATTCCCAAACTCAGTAACACCGAGGCCCCCTTAAAAATCTGACGGGTCTGCGTGGCCCCCCAAAATAATAACCAAGAAGACAACATTAAGAATAGGCTCTTCTGGTTATTTTATTTTGGGGAAATAGCCTCTGCTACAAACATTGTAATACAAAAATGATTACAGTGGATTATTCAAGTCAAATAATGAACACAAATATTTTAATATTACAAACAAAACATTATAAATTTAACATTAAATAATTATATTATTTTTTTTTATGACCTCCCGCGGCCCCCCTGCAGTACCCTCGCGGCCCACCAGGGGGCCGCGGACCCCACTTTGGGAGACACTGCGATAGAGAGTATTGAGCTGGTCCAGTGTACCGGGGCTGGAACAAAAACCTCACTGCTCTTCCTACCGAGGAGGCTGAGGAGTGTGATCGCACGATAATTGGAACACACCCTTCAGTCCCACTTCTTGTAGACAGGGACCACCACCCCGGTCTGCCACTCCATTGGTACCGCCCCGAGCGCCATGCAATGTTGCAGAGACGCGTCAGCCAAGACAGTCCGACAACATCCAGAGACTTTAGAAAGCCAGAACGTATCTCATCGACTCCTGGAGCCTTGCCACCAAGGAGGCTGCCAACCACCTTGGTGACTCCAGCCAGCGAGTTGGAAGAATCCGCCCCAACATCCTCAGTCTCTTCCTCCGGGACAGAGGACGCGATGGGGGGATTGAGGAGAACCTTGAAGTATTCCTTTAACCGCCCGACAATGTGCCCAACAATGATAATAAGGAATTAGTTTTATACAGCACTCTACTGCACCGTCATAGAGACTTCACATCTCATTCTTTCACACCAAACACAGTGGTTATAGACTAGTACTGTAGCCACAGCTGCCCTGGGGCACACCGACAGAAGCAAGGAAAGCAGTCTGTGCCATCAGTCCTTCCCGCCAACCATTCACACACAATACTCATTCAAATGTGGATGAAGTTTTTGGCCTGGACACATTAACTGTTTTGCACTACAGCCACAGCCGCCCCACTGTGGCACCTGGAGTTTTCCCGGAGGTCTCCCATCACAGCACTAACCAGGCCTTGTCCTGCTTATCTTCAGAGGTCTGACAGGATCTGGCTTTCACCTGCCGGGGCAACATTAAGAACAACTGGCACACATCCCCTCTCCCCTTCTGTTGTGATGGTACTCTTTCAAACTTGTGATGCAGCTGATATATATCATGTGCAGATTAGTTTTGGACAATGTGAATATTTGTATGTGTTTGTGAGTCCTCCTTCTTCCCGGGAGCTCTGACTGCACACGCTGCTCCCTCTGGTGGCAGCATATGGAGTTACAGGGAGCTCTGACTGCAGACGTTGATCCCTCTGGAGGCAGCATAGGGAGTTACAGGGGGCTCTTACTGCAGATGCTGTCCATCTGGTGGCAGTATAGGGAGTTACAGAAAGCATTTTGTAACATAAAGACTTGAATGTTATCTATTGAAGAAATTAATTAACATTCTAACATTAAATTAGATTAAGAAGTAAATAGTTTCATAATCACATTAAAGGCCAAAGAAATTTTTAATATTTCTTCTTAAACTTGTATCTCTCTGACCCAACATACATATAACGACAATCATTTAAGGCAATAATGACTAAAATATGAACTCTAAGAAACCCACCATTCAAAATCATGTCTGAGGATTATAAAGCCGCGTTCAGAAATCCCCCTTTCCCCAAAGAAATACTTGTAATGGTTGTTATGTGTCTGAGCTCCTCTGCTCTCACTAATTACCGACCAACACAACTATTATGAGGAAGTTGGTCTGGATTTTCTGTCTAAGGCTACAGCAAAACAGATCAGAGACAGAACCAAAGTTTAGAATCATTTATTTATGACTTTAAAGGAGACATGTTCCGCAAAACCAACTTGCTTGAGCTTTTAACCATGTTACGACACTGTCAAATATGCCCCAAAACTGTAGCTCCGCTTCTTCTGTCTAAAATCTGGTTTCTTAGTCCTGTAATAGTACAATATCATTATGCCATTATGAGAAAGACCAGAGAGAAAGAGAGACCAGAGAGAAAGACCAAAGAGAGAGACCCACGAGAGAGGCCAGTGAGCAAAACCAGAGAGAGAGACCACTACATCCCTTCCTTCCTGAGACCTGACATCTGTGCCATGTTGCTTTGTTTTCCTGATTCACACACACTGTACTTGAGCTTGTGCCCCTGGATTCACTTAAAACACATTGAAAATGATTCTAGTTGGTGAAATTAGCCGAGTACAAAAGGTTGAGGCCTGTGCTGCCCACGTGCTGAGCTCACAGTGAAGAGAAATGCTCTTAGATACAGAGGATTAGCCTCACAGTGGGGGAGGAGGGACAGGGATGGGGGGGATACTAGGGAAGAGTGACAGGATAGAGCCAATGTTCAAAGCAGTGGTGTCCAAACTTTTTGTTAGAGGGCTTCTTTAGTTCACCAGACGTGTCCAGAGGCCGATAACCCAGATTTTATATCCGTTCTGACTGGATCAAGCTCTTTTGAGCTTTATCTGGAAATAAAAACAACTAGATTCTAGAGGTTCTGATGTAACGAGGTAAAACATGTCTGTATCGGCTGAACTGAATGACACAAATAACACTGAACTTGTGTTTATGATTGTGACGGAGTCATTGCTCTCCCCCTGTCACTAATGCTCTGGTTGTGCGCGCACTCTGGCCATACTCCCCGGTGCGAGATGCGCGCTCCCGGCAGAGTTTTACACACCACAATTAAGCATGTTGTACTCACCGGTCCCGCTACGTAATCGCAGGTCTCCACACATCCCCTTGTTTTCTCCCCTCCATAAACCACACGGTAACAGCATCCATGGCTCGCTGCAGCTCAGGGCGCACACCGGGTTTGCGCCAAGCCCCGGCGATCCAAGATGGCGCCCGATTCAAATGAATGGTTGTGCTCAGTGGCGCTTTGTGACGGCATGGGGGCTGAAAGATTAGCGGAAGTTGCCTGAAACTCGCAAAGATCTATGGGAAACTCGCCTGTATTTGGGCATCGTCTGGTCCTCCCGGTTCTGCGCAGTGGATGATCTCCCATAATGCGTTGCGCCAAACACGCGTGTGTGGGTCTCACACCGGGTCTCACGCACGTGCACAGAGGGGCTCGGCCGCGCTCTGACCAATCAGAGCAGTTCATCAGAGCGGGAGTTAGAGCGAGAGCCAGACGAGCAGAGTTTGTGG